TCTTCATCGGAGACATCGTCAATCAACGTGATCTTTCGTATCATTATATAAGCCCGGAAATCCTGCTCTCTGTTGCAGGTTGCAAAATCATTGCGGGAATCTCAGATTAAAAACCGCAAATTCTTCATCTTTTCTGTTTTTCTGACGGTTTTGCATCTTAAGGCCGTCTTAATTAGTTGTTTGAGGACTTCGAACTTCCTCGTTACGTCTACAAAGACGGATCAAGGTGACGTGTTGAAAAATGAAATACCCGCAGTCTTATCCTCGAACAAAACTTGAATAACCTCAATGTCTGCTTCATATGAACGCCGAACAGTCAAAATCTATATCGCTTCCATCCATTTGAATTCTGCTAACCACGATAAGACTCAGTCTACAGATGACTCTACAGATGACTCTAGATTCAGTTACCTTTAACAGAACTAAGAGAGAAACTGGGTTGCGTTAGCGATGGCTTGACATTTGGGTCAACACGCTTAAAATGCGACCGCCAGAAGCCGCTGTCAGGATCAACTTAAGCGATGGCACCTGCTGTCATCAATTTAGAGTATTTAGCGCTAATCCTCTCTGCAAAAAACATTGACTCCAAAATGCATGTTATCTTGAGTACACCCTCAAAAATATCCGTAATACGAAATGACCGTATCGTTTAGTGCGCCAGACCTGCAAGTTGTTTTTCAGCGTCAATAGACGTGATCCATATATCGTATATGACACTGCCGTGATCGGCGTATGAGTAAATATTTTAGCCTATATTTGGCCTGGTTATTTTGATTTCTTGACTGGTATTCAGGTTTATAGAACCTTTTATCAAAGAAAACTGCAAGTTCGGTCTTTTTTTTATTGAAGGGCAACCAGTAGAATGTCGGCCAAAGCAAATAAAAGTGGTATAAGTTCTTCGTCTTGTACAGAAACTTTTAAAAAGGTAAATTACACAGAAGTTTTTCACCTGTATATCTAAGTAAAGCGTTTTTAAGGGATACTTTATTATAGATAAATCTTTTATTTATCTTAGGCTTATTAGTATCCGACTTTTGCTGTTGTCATTCATTTTCTCTCCAATGAGTTTTAATGTTTGGATAATTCTATACATCTGATCAAAACGGCCATCCAACAACTCACTACTTCGGTAAATGCTTTTAAGAAATATCTCATTTTGAAGGTTGTGATAAACATATAGAACAGAGTCTAAAGTTATGAAGAACAATGCTTGAAATCATGGAAGATCTTTAAGTATTTGTCGGAATTTAAACGGTGATCAGGGGCTAATTTTCTCCAATAACAGAAATACCTATAGATAAATTTGACGAAAGGAAATATTTGTAATATACACAAAATTGCAGGTTTACGATTGAATCCGATAGTTCTCTTTACGTTTATTGGTCACACGCTTTCGAAATTGAATGCTTTTAAAAAAGGTTTGGTATTTAGAAACAAAGTAATAATAGCTTCTATATTTTCTTTCAGTCTTGAATTCGTTTAAGGTTGTTCCTTAGTATTATTTCAAAGTTTTATTACATGAGTTAATGCCATTTTGAATGGATAAGACCATCTACTATAGCTGGGGGGTGTATAAAATGGTTGATGGAAAGAGGGCAAAACGTAACTGACTCCGCGTTAAACAACTACCATTCCATTCTTGGTAATCTCTTCCAGTAGGCACAGTGTGTAATGGTTTCAGTCCAAGTTACGCGATTTTCTGTGCTGTATTCCAGGATCGACTCAAGCGATGTCATGGATTTGGGGAGCTTTTTGCCAATCCTGCCTACTAGCCAAACATGGATGTCACAATGCCTGTTATTTATAGTGCTTCCTTTAACGTCTCCATAAAACGAATCGATATTTGTCACTGACCACCGGCGTGCTCATTATATGAGGCTTGTGGTGTGGTTAGTATAAAAACAGCAACTTACAGCTGGCTCCGTGTTGGT